GGACGTCTCTTCAGCGTATGTCTATTTAGCAGTCATATATTTCTGAATATTAGTCGGACAATAATTTGTTAAGTGGTCCACCGCCTACCAGAGTTCATTCTTGTTTACCACATGCGGCTGGCAACCTGATCTTCAGCGTCAAGTATAGGCAGCTGTTGATGAAAGTCTACAGTCTATTCGAAATGCTCGGTAAGATAGTGATGTATAGCATTGCAGTTTGACCTTTGCATGGTTTGTTTTGTTCAAATAAAGCTTATTCCAGGAAAAGTCTATCCAAGGCATTGTTTGGTCCTTCCAGGAAAATGAGGCTTAATATGTTGCTTGAAATGGACAGAAGCATGATTTCACGTGACTCTTTTCTCTCGCTTATGTCTTCTTTCTTTGATAGTTTCATAAGGCAAACATTCTCCCAATTGGCACTTACATAGCTATTCTTCTGTATCTTCTGTAGTCGCTTGAATCCCTTTACAGCACTTCTGAGTGGCGAGGGGTTTATCTATTTCGTATTCTTCTCCAGCTTATAGTAACGTTATGACCTTCAAGACTTCGTATTGTTGCTGGAGTGTCGGTGTTCATTGGATATTCAAATATACCGACGGACTTGAAAAGCTAGCGTTATTAATTCAAAATCACATATAGTTTTTGACGCAGAAGTAACTTTTTTCGTTATGGAATAAAAAGCTTGAAATCTACACGATTAGACTGACTTATTTTGGATTCATCAGATTTCTACGTCTTCTTGTCATGCTAGGCGCGAAGTCTTTCAGTAGATTATAAATCCTTTTTTGTATTTCGAGGATTACATTGAAATAATTAGGCATTTTTGAAACAGATGTATTTATAGTAATATTATTCGTACTCACCATAGAAGTTGAAAAACAGCCATTAATTCAGTGGAATAACATTTTAAACAAGTAAATATCTTCAAACAGTGGAAGAGTATGCACTTCGTATTTATCCAAACAAATATAAATACTTACAGTCTCATCTTATAAATAAAAATGTCATGATATTATTAATTTTGGGAACTAAAATGTTTAAATCCTCAATTTTTCGGAATAAAAACCAAGATAATGTTCTTGTACAATTAAACAGATTATTTTTTTCTAGGAATTTAAATACTACTGTTATGTTTTTCAGAAAAGTGGGTACACTGATTTCTAGTTATTGTTTTAGGCGAATTGAAGTGCATAATAATGCTTCATGCTTTTTCTTATTTTGCACTTTTTCAAATGCTTATTATAACTCTCTTATTATGTCTTAGTTCATGTAAGAGAAATGTGATAATGAGATGTCGTTAGCAGCCGTCTCAGAGTATTTTTATCATTCAAATGTCAACTTTCATATTCATGGGAATTTGGAAAATAAAGGCAAGAAAAAAATCCTTTTGTGCTCGTAGTGATTGGTATTTCAATTTATTTGTAGTGAATAATGAATACACTGAGTGGTATTCAAGAGAAAATACATGTCAACTTGAATAGCATATCAATTTTCAAGAGTTTTTGTTTGTGTGGATTACTTTTGTTTCATGGTTAATCACGATGTGACATATATTGACTTCATCAGTAGTGGAATTCCTTAAATGTCTATGATAGGTGTCGAATCATTCCCACTGGACGTTTTCCCAGTTGATTAAATAAATAGTTTCACTCTAAACACATGACACCATATACTACCTGTTGATTGATATAAGTAAATGGATACCACTCATATTAACTAGTAGTGCTCGTCGGTAAAATCAAAGTGATGGCCATTACGTTCATTTGGGGCTGAACTAATCGGGGTTGTGCATGGTTTGAAACACTTCAGAGAACCAAATCAGTTGAAATCATCTGATTATAGTGAAGTGAATAATCTCGATTTCCAAAGGAAACCAAGGTGAAATTTCATCTCAGACTTTGTGAAATGCAAATTACGAATATGATTCATCGTCTCCGTTATTAATCTCTCCCTTCATCCTGTCACATCAGATTTCGAAAATGTCGCCATCCCACTGTATAACGGTGACTAAATGTATGTAGTGTTATGTCTCAGACAATGTTTTCAAAGATTTCTTATATTATTTGTGCACTAATGTAGATTTGGCTAAGCCTTATCTTCTAATAATCTAACTGACCACACCAAACTAGTGTGATGTATGTACTTAGCAGGATGGTTTTATTCATTGAACCACCTGAAAACACGTGAAAGAAAAAGAATTTTATTTTTGTCTCAGACATCTGGAAAAGGAAGAAGCAGAACTGCAAAAGTCATGTTGCAAAGTTGCAGCCGATATTGATTAGTACAAAAGGGTGTTTTACGTGTCATTTAGTAAACAACTAAGTCCAGGAACGTAGTCAAATTTTCGGAGCTGAAACATACACTACACCAAAACGTAAAATCATCAAAAACCAAGTAAATATTATTCTTTTACGTAGTTGTTTTACACTGTTGGGTATTTATAATTCTTTAAATTTCAATAATCTGAAAACTGTAGATTCTTCCTGTTAATTCAGCCCCATGATATATCTTCACTCACTAACGCCTTAGTAAACTAGCCATTACTGTTTTTTCAGTCATTTTGTTTGTGAATTCACACAAAGACCATGCGGATAAGGCTCAGACATAATGCAGGAAAGTATTTAATGTAATGTTATCTAGTTCATCTGTTCTTTATGATATCCAGTTGCATTTAAGCTGGACAAACGTCCCCTAACATTATAACCTGTGCTGTTTTCAAAATAGCATTGTCAGTAATCGAGATTTTTAGTGATGATAATATATGAATGATAACTATTTTGCTGTGATAAAATATATAAAGATGCCAAAACAAAGTGTTCCAGCAGACAACAGTGAACATTCCTAACCAAAATCTCACTAGTCTACATACATAAATTAACAAAAGCACATCTTAAAATATTGTTGTATCCCGCATTATTTATGAATAACAAACCATAATAAAAATCAGCTCACCCAATGTTCCACCGAAAGTATAACCTATATAGAAAATGGAACCGTGCTAAAACTGTTCTCTAAATTTTAAGTTACTTTTTTTGAAAAAAACATTTTTATCTAAAATGAATTTCTTAGGATTTCTAGAGATCGTAATAAACATCCTTAAATTTCTTGGACACCTCTAAAGTAGTCACACGTTATGTGTTCAGCAGAAATATTCATTTCTACTTCAACATATCCCACTTGTATTTTCTAACACACTAATGGTAACTTTAAACCAAAGTTTGCAGTCATAAATACTATCAGTTACAAGCCGTAATGAAACAGATTCGTGTAAAAAACTGTACTTGGACAGAGAACTCTTTTAATATTATCTGATATGGCTGATGTACACACTCATTAGAAATAATTTTAAAATAATTTCGGTTCATCTCTAGTGTATTGATAAATGGATCCACTAAAATTACTGAACTTCACGTGACGCATGTAGCTGTAATCATATTCGTTTACAAAACCTTGTACTAGCAAGGAGAAAAGCACCAGTCCATTTCAACGGGATAAATTTGAAGGAATCACTTGTTTGGCTTATCTAGGCAGTATAATTTCAACTACAGAGTGAGGATGTCAAAGCCAGCCAAGACAGGAAAAGTAAGACAGACTTTCATTACTCTGAAATCTGTGTGGAAAACCACCGCAATCAGCATAAACAACGAAATTCGGATTTTTGACACTTATGTCGATTTAAGCAGAGCCTCTTTATGGTTCAGAGACTTGGTGTTCGCGTTTCCAAAAGCAGTTCAAATAGGCTTCAGACTTCTATCAATGGCTTCGCTTCCTCCATACTGAAGATGAGATGGCCAACCGGAAGACAAAAGTAATAAGGAACTGTGGTAACAAATAAATTACGAACCTACTACTGGCTTTAGAAAATATTGGGAAGAAAACGGAGATAGACTAAGCACACACCGAGGAGACCATCAAGTGGCATCGTACACTAAGCAAGCTTTAGAAAGAAAAAGACTTGGACGCTGGTGAGAGGGTAACATGGAGGAGATGACAGCTTATGGAAGAACGTGGGGCCAGATGAGGAGGAATGCAGAGAGCTGGATGAACTGGAGATGTGTTGCTGAGGTCCTTTATTTTACTTAAAAACTAGAGAAGTAACAATATGAGAAAGAAAATACATTTTATAAGATCAGGATTTTCATTTCTGAGTTACATTTCGGGTATGTTATGCAAGTCAATAAAAGGTGGAACTGTTTTGAACATTAATATTGCAACTGTTTCCTTTAACTGTTTATGACGTCTACTAATGCAGAAGAATCCTAACATTTTGATTTATATTCGCTTTATATTACAAGAAATATATATAAGGATAGGTATTTGCTTTACCATAATCATTTGTAATTTGGATGATTAACGCAACCCTATGGTCCCATTGAATCAGTTTATTTGGTATGTATTGGAAATGCAATAAATGTACTTGACCTGAAGTATTCTTATGCAAAATGCTGCTGGTTTTCAACTAAGACTGTAGGAAATCTGATAGGGTGTCACGATTTTATATATGAATATAGTGATTGTTTTGAGAAAATCATCTAGAATCAATGTTTTTCAACTCCATACAGCATAAAAACATTTTGAAGTGCATTTATTATACAAGAAGAAATTGAATGAAGTATATTTCCAGATAGCCGGGATTTAACCTTCTTTCGGATTTCCTGATGAAGCAATTTATGTAAGAGTATAACTTTTAATTACACCTCCTAAATATTTTTTCACTAAATTTTGAAATTGCAGTAGCTTCGTGTCTTTTAGTAGGCGTCACTAAATTCTGTAAATATGAGTAAAGAATTAAACAGTATTTACTGAGAGGATGTACTTCTCATAGATCATTTTACTGTAGATTTCAGACAGGTTTCAATTCTTCAAATCCAGCATAAATCCAACCAATAGTGTTTCATTTCTATCCTAACCAATCAAATGTTTCTAATTTGTATAGTGTTACTTATAAATTATAAAAAGTATATATATATTAACCACCACTTCCTCGGTTACTTAATAACAGGAAGGTACTCAAAAGCACTTGTCTCAGTGTAATGTGAAATTCAAAAACAAGAATATAGTTAAATGCATTCATTGCCATTAGTTAACTTTAAATGCTCAAGGCATGTATAGTTGATATTACTTTTTTAACCTTCCATACTTTCGTTTGGGCCACACTTCAAGATCATTTAATACTTTGGGATGCTAGTAATTGGAGGTAAGTGTTCCCGTTACGATTTCTTTCCAATTTTAATTTATATTATTGAAGAATAACTTTCTAGAGTTTGTATTAAAGTCACCTTCCTAGTTTATGTCTTAGTATTTTTCGGGAAAAAATAAACATACGTAAATTTATAAAATTTATATTTTTAAAATCTCAACAAAATTGAAATTTGTAATTCCAACGTTGCGTCTGACAAACTGGTCCGAACGTCTTCAGCGAAATTAATCAAAATGAACATAACAGAGGTTTATATATAAAAAGACATCTCTTGTTTTTAAAACCTTTGTCCAATCATATGAGTTATGAAACAGGGATCAACAAAATTGTGTGTCTGTGTGATCGAAATTTGACCTCAGACTTTCAAAAATTAGTCCACCTTTATGAAATACTTTAAACAGAGTGTACTTTACATGGTCGTAGATAACTGTTCACCCATATACACCATTGTATACTGCATATACCCATATATTTTCATATTCAGTTGCCTACAGCTGTGAACTCTTAGTTCAACGTTATCTGGATGAAAGGTAATAATACTTTGATAAAGCTATTAGCATTAAATAGCGAAACATCAGTAAAAACAATATCTTTTTGTTTTTCATTCATTTGGAAATACAGAAAGTACACTCTGTTTAAAGTATTTCATAAAGGTGGACTAATTTTTGAAAGTCTGAGGTCAAATTTCGATCACACAGACACACAATTTTGTTGATCCCTGTTTCATAACTCATATGACTGGACAAAGGTTTTATAAACAAGAGATGTCTTTTTATATATAAACCCCTGTTAAGTTGATTAATTTGATTAATTTCGCTGAAGACGTTCGGACCATTTTGCCAGACGCAACGCTGAAATTACCCATTTCAATTTCGCTGAGATGTGCGTCGGTGGCACAGTGGTTATGACTCTCACTGACCATGCACATGGTCCGAGGTTCGATCCCCTGCCGACGCACACCTGATATCTATGGTCGGCCTGCAAAATTTGGGCTACCGATATCCATGCTGAAAATTCCATACTTGTACCAAAAATACAGTGTGGAATCAAGCTGCAATCAACAAATAAAAATAAAATAATTCTTACAAATGGTTACCTCTCACTCGGTACTCAGTTATTTTGAAACTATTTGGTCAAATCTTGATCACAGTTAATATGAATACGTAAATTTATTCAAAACATTTCGCGTTATTCTGTCAATTAATCTTTAAAATGAAAAAGTGAACTATATTGAAAGGTGCATAGGATGAATATGTTGCTCATAAGGTGGCTCAAATGATTGTCCAAGCACACTGTGCGGACAAACTTAATTTTACGCTGATCGATAAAGTGTGTTAAGTAGTAAGCAAATAATGATGATACAACTACCTTATTCACTCGCATGGAAGAGTGTCATGCCGCCATATAAGTGGATATTTGAATAAATGAGATTACTAGGTATGAACAACTGCCTTAACCACTGTAAATAGTATGCATGTGTTATTTATTTTTATTTTTTGATTACAGCTTGATTCCACACCGTATTTTTGGTACAAGTATGGAATTTTCAGCGTGGATATCGGTAGCCCGAAATTCGCAGGCCGACCATTGATATCAAGTGTGCGTCGGCGTGGGCTCGAACCCCGGACCATGGGCATGGTCGGCGAGAGTCCTAACCACTGTGCCACCGACGCTCTAGTATGTAAGATACTTACTTCTAAAAACTTATAGTTGCACCAAAATGAAAGTATTAAACCAATACTCCATCCATTATCCCATAGAGACATGACAGTGAAATTATTCAAAGAAGTATGAGGAAAAATTATGCTTTGAAGAATGAATACATAATCTGTATGCCATAGTAGTATAATATATTCCATACAATATATCCATTCATTACCAGTTTGAAACTAAAAATCAAGAAATGGTTGGACTTATTCTTTATAACTAGATACCGGTGGGATGATTTAATTTGTAAGAATATGTGTAATATTTTTACCGCGTTTCAGAACAACATTTGCTTCAAATTTAAACTTCAGAATTTATGATGTCAGCTGGTTGTGAATATGAAAGTCTTCTTTCCACAATACGATAATATGAATACCTTACTAAATTTTATGAATGGCGATTAATTTAGGAAATGATGTGGAGGGCCATCAGCTAGAAGGCAGCTACAAGAGTGATATCACAAATGAGAACACAAAATTTGGCCGGAGAACTCCAGAGAAAACCAAAATATCCAACAGAGTCCTGTAATGACTACATCAAATAACCAGATTAACTTTTAAAAAGAGTCATGATGATCATATAGATGACAGTGAAACTGTGGTGTTCCTTAGTTGTGCAGATTTTTTAATTTCATTTAGACTAAAGCCTATAAAACTGGAAAAAAATAACTACTGAACACTAGTGAATATCTCAGTCAACACAAACTTTGGGTGAAATTCCCATCTTGTAACCTAATATCATCTATATGGTTAAACAAGGGAAGAGATAATGAAGATGCTGATGGGATCTTGCTTATCGGAAAGCATAATCGAATAAATAAACAGTATAGAAATTTGGATACTTTAAGGTGATAAAATATTTCGTATAGTAAGAAAAATGATTTGGAAAGCAATCATCACGTAAACAAATACGTTTTTGACGACATCAGTTTTACAAGAGTAGAAGAATCGAATAACAAAATTCGATTTTCCTATTTCCCAGTTAACAGAACAGGCGAGGTAAAGTTAAAACCACAAGCATGTAGAAAATCAACCCACATAAATCAAATACTTGCTTGCAATAACAATAGTCAAGCAGAACACAAAAGTAGTTACTCGCAGACAATAGTCAAAGTAGCCAAGACACACTCTTTCTAGGGGAAACACATCTTATGACTGTCACACAAAAGGCTGGATATCAGTGTAAATTAATCAAACTAGAAAAACAAAATCGGCCAGAAGAACAAAGTTACATTTCTGGAATCAGTGACGGATTACTGAAACCCTTTAATCTGGATCTCTTCACGTTGTATTCTGTTAGCCAGAAGAGCAAAAGAAGGCAAGATCATATATAAGACATTGTATCCATGACAAAAAGACTATGTCTGCTACAGTAAGCAAACCCTTCCTCTCCTCATCCATTAAAGCAAGCAGAGAGTTAAAAGGGATGAAATATATTCCTTCATATCAAAGTAGGTAGACAAGTATGTATACCGACCCTCCAAAAGAATGTGCAAGTCTCGAAAAAAGCAACCACCTATAATGGAGGATTCCAAGAATACTGACACACTGATAAGTCTTCGGCTAAGAGACAAACAGAAATTTATCAGATTAGTCACATAGATAAAAAGTATCTGGTGGGAAAATTATCAATAGCAATGCAAGTGCATATAATTAAATCCCTCGAGATAGCTAATCACTTTCAAATTCACCAGAACAGATGGCCGCTGTGTTAATGAAGACTTTTGAAAGCTCATTTAATCTTCAAGTAATATGAAGTCAGTTGATATTCTTAAAAAATAATGAAGTTTCCGCGAATCAATCATTTGACTGAATTGGAAATTTCTGCTATCATATTATGTATATTGACTCTTCTCAGTGGAATCGGCAAATTTCTCTGAGAAGTAAAAATATATGCCACTTTATTTACTACTTTCGCATGGCCTTTTAAAACTTGAACGAATTTATTAAATTAACATTTATGCTTATTGTCAGAGTAAATAAGGTTTACTACTTCATTTTAGGGTAGCCAAAGTGAAGATAAAAAGAGTAAAAGAAAACATTTTCGCTGCTTATTTAAATATAGCTTCATATTTTCTTCTTTAAATACTAAATTCGAAAATAAAACAGATGTGAAACATGTTGATCATGTAGTCCGACTATTAAACACTGGATATGGTTTGAAAATATAAGGTGAATAAACGATAATTAACATACATTAAAAAGCTTTTAATTCTCACACCTAAAATGAGATACTCATTACTTCTTTGATTCAAATGAATAACGCTTGTGATACTTAATGATAACTTTCGAAAACTTTGCAATGTACCACGAAAGGTGAAGGATAACTCTTCTAAAGTTATTCGTTTTCAAATTTATTGATCTGAAAGAATCGTGAAATTTACCGTATATGATAAGTAAAGTAGCATAAGTATCCTTAGTATATGAAAAGCTGTTAACTGAATTATATCATCGTTAAATCACGCATTCACAGGCTATGACCTGAGTCTGATAGCATAAAGGTAAATGTGGCACTAAATATTCAAGAAGGTTACATCTAAGTCACTTTTGTTTTTCTTATAGCTGTTGGCAAAACAATCCAAATGTGCAATAAATTTTGTTTGTTGCAGAATAAAATAATTTCCAGATATGATTTTAAGTGTAAAAGAAACCATTGTTTTTGATGGATTAAACGTTAAAACTAAGATGAGTAGTGAGCACTAAGATACTAAATACAGTACCAGTTTGACATGTAACCAATGAAAGCTTCTTAACATATTCATTCTTTCTTAGAATATTGAAATTAATTTCATTGAATTTCAATCTTATTGTAACTGAAAGTGAATAAATTAAAAAAATATTTTGTTCAGCCCAACCTTTTGAGAAATAATTTCATTACTGACTCCAATGATCCATTGATTGCTAACATACGCTTGAAGAAACTTTAATTTACATTTTTCTTTCTTTTTCAAATTTGATGTTTAATAAACACAGTTGAGACACCTTTCTGGTGCAGTGAATTATCAAGTTTCCTTATGCAGCAAACTTTTTTTCTATAATTTCTGAAGAGTTATTTTAATCTCGTGAAATTTCTGCTTCATACAGTGATTGCACCGTCACCATCCTTTCAACGCAATTTAAATCAAGTAACTTAATTATTTTATTATTTATTACTTCCTTGGGTTTCAAGTGTAACACATGGCTTCAACAACACATCTCCACTTTGTTGTATTTTCCGCTGTCCTCTTCAGGAGGGTCAGTGATTGCCCATAATCCCTCATCTCCTCCTCACACGATCTCCTTCGTGTCACT